GGCAATGTGTCAACTATTCATGCAGATTTAAGCCGAAGAACACAATTCACGCATTAACATTTAAATCATTTAAAAAATTATATGTGTTTTCTCAACAGCTAAGTAAATGCACCAGCACAAATGTTAACTCAAATGTATAAATAAACTCATTCGCTCACTCATTCGGACGATTATTCACCGTCGATACTGCAGTACTCCGACGCACGCACACATGTTGAGCGATTTATTAATGTGCAATTATTATTTGCTTTTATGTTTACGATCAATTTAAGTGTAAACAGTTACGCCATGGCTTTGACTTTTATTACGAGTATTTATATTTGTAATTGTATTTGTGTTTGTGTTTGTCTCATTCATGCACATACACATACATATACACATATTTGCGAATGTTTTCAACTGCGGCTGTTGATTTGTACGTTGTCTGGTGCATTGCTGTTACTGCTGTTGTATTTGTTGTATTTGTTGTATTTGTTGGCTGTTAACTTGTCTATGCGTTGACGTTCATAGTGATGGCAGCATAGCAGTTGGCGTCGGTGTTGGTGTTGGTGTTGGTGTCGATGTCGGCATTACTGTTTATTGTCAAAGTTTTTTATTTGATGGTTTATTTTTTTAACAGATTTACGTAGTTACACTGGCACAGATATTTTTATGGCGGCAATAAAATCATATTTAAGCGCACTTAAATGGGAAATGTCGATCTGGCGTTGCCAATTCCATGCATTTTGTGCGCTCGTATGTGGCGCGCGTATATTCGCAATTAAACTTTTATTTTAATGCGTATTTCTCGTTTTATATATTTTTAAATGATTTATGTGCAATCCATACAAGTAAGTATCTTTGCATTGGATCAGTTGTCGTTTAAAGCCGCATGAAAATATGATTTTCTAGCGTTGAATATATTTGCTCATCAATTTTAATTAAAAATAAAAACAATAAATAGTGAATGAGTAATTAAGTATTTTTGTAAATAATCAAAAATACATAATGCTATTAAAACTTATACGTGACTTTTATTTACTTGTTACTGATATTTACATAAAATGAATAAAATTTGTTGACATAGAAAGGTAAATTTAATATATCAATACCCTACACACACACACACACATAGTAAATCTATATAACATGCGAAGGCACTACGCAAAATATTGGACGGGATTGACAGACTGGCCTCGGTGTATGGGTTATTCTTTTATGAGTCTAAAGGTATATAAGCTCGCCTCCTCCGATTATTTACATGAAATGAATAAAATTTGTTGACATAGAAAGGTAAATTTAATATTTCAATACCCTACACACACATAGTAAATCTATATAACATGCGAAGGCACTACGCAAAATATTGGACGGGATTGACAGACTGGCCTCGGTGTATGGGTCATTCTTTTATGAGTGTAAAGGTATATGAGCTCGCCTCCTCCGATTATTTACATGAAATGAATGAAATTTGTTGACATAGAGAGGTAAATTTTATATTTCAATACCCTACACACACACATAGTAAATCTATGTAACATGCGAAAGCATCACCCGAAATATTGGAAGGGATTATCAGAATGGTCTCGGTATATGGGTTATTTTTTTATGAGTGCAATGGTTTGTGTGCTGATGACTTTCGAAATGGTTATAATTTTTCTATATCGGGATATTTTTAAATATTTTTGCTCAGTAATACGAACCCATGAGCTTTTGAGAACTTGCATTTCAGCTCTCTTTTTTAATGGTTACATCTCAGACTTTGTAAATAAAAGAGAACAACAATTTATTGTCTTATAAAGATAATAAATATACCATTTTTTAAATAATATATATTACTAAAATTGACTATATTTTGTTACTAATAACCATTAATTTAAAAGAAAATTCTTTTTTAAATATATATCGAAGATTATCATAGTGGTTTTATATTTTTAATTCAAATTTACCATAAAATTTAATTTAAAAAGCTGAAACTTTCCCGATAGTACTATAAAAAATACTTTGAAGTTATCAAGTATTTAAAGACAGATTCTTTCAGGTAGAATGTACGAAAAGTACAGCCCTACTGCATAATTATTTACTGATTTAAGAGGACTTGTCCTGGTTGCAAGGGCACCACTTGGGTCTGACTGAAGCATCCCTTTTTAACAAAAAAAAACAAAAATATGAAATAATCTGCAACTCGAGAACTTTTTTTAGTATTATTAAAAGAGCTAAACAGATTCTCATCTAAAATCTCCACCATTGAATGCCATAGTAACCTAAATAAACTCCCAAAAAGAAATAGTGTTATTAGGACGCAATAGATCCAATCAAAACCATCATGTATAGAGGTCTTATAAATTCATTACTATGTTCAGCGCAGTATTAGGGGGTATTTCCACTACATGACAATATAATCTACAGATTCTGTCAGATTTATTCATAGTCATTACATGTGTTTGTAGCTTGGCATTGTCATGAGGAAGCACTATTCCTTTTATGTTGACTAGTTCTGATCCGTTTTCCTTAATTATTTCCTTTAAGCACTCCAATTGTGAGTCGAATTAACCGTTGCATCAGGCTGGAAACAACTCATAATACACATTTTATTTTAAATTTCACAGGGCAATCAACGTAAACTTGTTTACCGTCAATTCAGACATTTGAAGTCCTTGATAGAATGTCACCGGATTTTGATCATCTTTAGGATTTTGATTTCTTTACACTATATATACTCATATTTGACCCATTTTTCATTCCCTGTATGATTTGCTTTTACAAGTGCATTGCATTTTAGCTGCGTTTCACTATTGATAATGCAGTCAATTAAATTTCTGTGGTTTAGTTTATGTGATACCTGAATCTAGAGTATCTTTGCGTAGCTTACTATTTTTAATAAATTCAAAACTGTATTGTGGTTGCTGCTTAGTACATTCTCTATCACATTCCAACTGGGTTTTACCGACTTTTTTGTGAGTTGCCAACTATAGAGAGGTACATTTTGTGCATCCAAATTTACTGAAGGAAATTGATAAAACCACTGCTATAGTCAGAATTTACTACCAACAACCTGACCGTAAATCACACATATTTTTCAGTATATTTTTGCAATAGTTTCATCTTTTTGTAGTAAAAAAAAGATAATAAGAGATAGCATATTTCTTCAGATATTTCGCACATTTTCAAAAGTAATATATAACATTCTACAAGTGCGAAAACTACGCAACTGCTTTCATATGCAGTACTTATACCTTGAAATGTTACCCTTTAATATTATGTTCATTTATAATTATCGGGTTGGTATTATCAAATATTAGGTTACTAGCAGCATCTAGTGACAAAAAGCAATGCATAATTGTTATGTCCCCCAAAATATGCTTCTAAATTAATTAATCAAATTAAGTTATTGTCGCGCTCTAATATTACAGATCCTTTGTATTTATTCTATTCACTAAATTTTTTTTTTCTTATTGTTATATCTTTCTGAGTAAAATAGAAATTTTTCACTTAAACTAAACACTAATTATAGTTCATAAAACAATGGAATAACATCATTCTTCATAAAAAAAAATTCTTCCATTCAAATAAAATTCTCCAAAAATCCACACTGTAATTACATCTGAACAAAGTCGTTGGTGATTCATTCTAAATTTCCAAAAATACTGACCCATTCATGTATGTATACGTCCTGAAAATTGTATTTGATCACAGCTAATGACATTTAACCACTTTACACATTGCTCGGTCGGTATGACCACAATCAAATTCCAGCTAAGCATACAGGTGCGCTCATTTCGAACCATATTCATATGCTGCTTTTAGGCGCATACACAAATTTGTATTTTTACTGTTGAAAGCTAAATTGAAAGCAATTTGCATAAAAAATTGTCGGTGTATGTGTAAACCACCTGCATACGGCCGAGCGGAGCAGTGCGAACCATGTGTTTGCAGTCAAATAATATGGTTGGCTTTGGGTTAGTCGCTTTCATTTGGTTTATTTGAACAGAAATTGCTTCGGACTCACTCATAGGCTGCACCGCACAAAATTGCTTCACCAACACATAAACTGTTTGGCACACATACATCAATGCTGCTAATACTCGTATGAAATGGCTGACTGGCTACCGGGTAAGCAAGGCAACCCGGTGGCTTGAGTGAGTGAGTGAGTGTGAGTGTGAGTGGTTTTATGCTTTTATGAAAATGTAAACTCCATACGTCGTATTTAATCTTGAAATTACATTGTGTAAGCACCAATGTTAGGCTAAAAAGTTTTTAAGCACGATTACGGAGTAATGAAAAATTGAAAATAATTTAAAAGCGAGTTTAATTTTATTATTGAAACAAGAGTTTAGCTTTGAAATTTAGATGGATCCACCATGGAGCAAGGGATTTTCTAGGTACTTAATTATTATTTCTATTAGGCACCAAGTTACAATACATAGCTCAATTGATAATATATTTTCTGCGATGAAACTATGTAGATTAAAGGAATAACACCTGGAATATAAGAGAACGATCAGCAAAAGAAGCACTTGTAAGAAACCCCATTGGTTCCTGGTAAAGAAGTGGACCTAGAAAGAGGTAGCTTGATAATGCTGAATAAGATTTAATGAAACTACGCGTTAACTATAGTAAAAACTTGGCATAGGATCGAGTCAGATGGCAAAAATTGGTTGAGGAAGCACTGAGGTTTGTTATGCTAAGAAGAAAGACGAAAACATAGTGTTTATAAAATAAGAATATAGGCTCTACTATATCTCCTTCAACAAGGAATAACTTGTTGAAGAAAATAGCTTCAGCATTCAACAAAAGTAAATTAATAAAGGCGATTCTAATAAACTTTTATCTATTCTTAAAAAGATTCCAGTACCTCTTTACTATGAAGATTGTTCTTACACATATGTATTTGTTTGCGACTTATTGTTCATTTAAAATACAAAAAGTTTTTTATCAGATCTTCTTTTATTTCTTATTAATTGACAATTACCAAAAAAAAAAAATTGGAAACTATAAGAATATTAGTTTAAAAGTTTTTAATATTTTCAATATATATTTTTCTACTATCTTATTTTGTGAAATCAATCGGACTTCAACAAGACTCTCTTATAGTATTACTAATAAATAGAGTATTTAAGTATTCAAAGTACAATACAACGAGACTTTTTATAGATTCACCCAAACTAGGTGGTGAATTAGCCTCATTATTATGGCTGACAGTGAAAATTTTGAGTGTGACTACGAAGAAATTACTATCACGTTTCACAAGAAGAAAGGAAGACGGAAGGTTGAGGATGGAAAATCGAAACAGTCAACTACTAAACACTTAACTTCACAAGATCAGGAAGTAACGAAAAGTGATGAACATATAAAACTACGATGCATGCATCCAACAACAACAAATTTAAAGGAAAAAGAAGTTGCGCTTGATAAGTCATTGAGAAGAAAAAGTACGTTCAATGGTGAAGAACAGGAGATTGGTAAACCATTACTTGGAACAAAAAATAAACTACTACGTATATCAGAGGTGTACGAACATTTAGAGAATTTATCTGCAACTCTAAAGTGTGTAAAAGATATTAAGCAATCCAAGAACTTGGAATGTATGCCGATAGAGAAAGAAGAACAGTTAGAAGTAAAGAAAGAAGTAAGTCAAGAGAAAGTAGTTCAAACATCCAAGCAGACGCCAAAAGGAAATGTTTTACCTATTATAGGTGAAGTCAAAAAGAATCTAGCTAATTTAAATAAATCACAAGAGACAAATACAATTCAGGTGAGTTATATGTGTATATATAGTTACTGATTATTGTTCAAAATTTTTCTAAACAAAATTCAACTTTTTATTTTTTTCTATTAAAGGATAAAAATAAAATCAAAAATAACAAATTCCTTGATATTGTCAGTAATTTGAGAAATGAGTTTCTTCTATACCAAAGATGTTTAGGAACTAATATCAATACAAAAGAATCTGAACAACACTTTTGTAAGATTAATAAAGCAAAACAATGTATTCTATCCACAGTTGCAGAGAAATCAATTGAAAAGAATAAATGTAGAAAGTCGGACATATCTTCAGTTAATGTCAAGAAGCTCAATGTGGTTAACTCGAAAATATCTACAAATGTGAAGACTCAAAAATTTTGTAAGAAGTGCGGAAAAAATAGGAATATACCCATTAACCAAAACGTGACAACCACAACACCTAACCATAAAAAATATATGGAAAACTCCACACAAACTAAACAAACAGAAAGTAAGATTTTTGTTGGCCCATCATCCAAGTCTCAGAAAAACTGCATGGAAATTGCACACAAAGATGAAATAAAAAGAGATGAGGTCGAACAGAAAGCATATTATACTGACAACGATAGTAGCACACATACAGAGGAAGCAGAACTAGAAGAATATCATAATAACAGTCATAATAATTCACCAACTATGACAGATTCAGTAAAGTATTTAGTTGAAATTGGACTCGAAGAATATTTAAAACGACTAAGAAATGGACAACAAGTACCTAAAATCAATGAGACAATATCCACCACATCTCCTAATGACAATGATCATGATGTTAATATGGTTGACGACTTTAAAGTGAAGAAAGAACCCTGTTCAGTTAAAATAGATTGCCAAACACAAACATCTGTTTGCTCAATATTTCCAAAACTTGAAAGAAAAATTAAATCTAAAACTAATCACATATCACCCAAAGTGAGGTCACTCTTTGGCACTAGAGGAAAAACAACCGAAGGCTTGTCAATTCAAAAAAATAATAAAATGAACTCGTGTATGAAATTGATGGAATATTCTTCCTCAAGTGAAACGGAATCAGACTATTCCGTGCGAAGCATTGAATGGAGTATACCAGCTGAAGGCAGAACTAACCCCAGGTATGCAAGTGAAGCTACGAAAAAGAACACTCAGATGGAATTTAGCACTAAAGAGGTTCAAACAGCCCACTCTCATGCATGCATTTACTTAGATCTGGACGGAGAATGTGAGAGTTGTAAAAATGGTTGTCGTCCAATTTACAAAAAACATATACTTGCGATTATATATTATATGATAAGAGGTTATAATCCAAATGATGTAGCACTTATTATCAACGCAACGAAGCCTAAAATTTTTCACTTTAAAATGATTGCTATGAGTACCGGTGAGACGCTTAATTGTTTTTTTACTACATCTAACGGTTTGGAAAGGGCAAAAAATGAAGGAGTAATGAAATATTTTCTGGTATATTTCAAGCCGGAATAAAAATGTGATGATGGCTTCGAAGGAAAATTTCTAGGGCAAGTTAAGAACTAACAGAAATAATAATATACTGTAAAGACTGCCTAATAATTAAATATATTTTTTCTATTAAATATCTTATACATAAAATATATATGATTAATTATAGTGCAATTCAAATACAGCTAGTAAAATATATTAAAAATTTTCCTGTACTTTATAATCCTCTTTTTTTCTTCTCTGCTTGATAATGCGAGTTAGTCTCTAAAGCACTTTTACTCAATAGTGTCTGTGATCACTTAGATGAAACACTGTAACAAGTAGTCCATTGAAATACAGATAGAAATTAATAGTAATATAGTCTGATCGGCTGATTGGATCTGCAAGACTAAAACTCTGTCACCGTCATGGGCCGAATATCATTTCTGTGGCTAAAAGCCTATACAATCAGTGTAATGCCGGCATATCGTCCACTGCTGATTCTTACATTCAACATCTTAAGCAAGCACTGTGTACTATCACATCCATCTTTTGAGTATGTTAATTCCATCACTAATATCCCGTCCCACCGTACTTCAACATCTCAAGTAAGTACAGCACACTTTCACATCCGTCTGTGTGTAGAGTCCATCACAAGTATCTCGTCGGTTACTGCTCCTTCCATAAGAACAACACCTTCGCGCAGTGTTTACTTGTTTTAAAAATCACCAGCATCTCTTCAACTTATTTAATATTTCTGATAGTTTTCTGAGACTTCAAAGAAGTGTCCCTTTAAATCTAATTACTAAACAATAATTCTTTCTAACTTAAATCAAAATTAAACGAAAATACTTTTAACTATATATTTATTTAAAATTGAGTTTTTTCCAATATATTCAAGACTTATCCCATAAAAATGAATAATAGGGACAAGTGGCTTCCTAACATGACTTTATTAAATTTTATGAAGTAATCCTATTTGATGTAGACCGCAGCTAACAGAATTTTCATTTTTGAACTCTTAAATAATTTAGTAATAACAATGATTTTTGATGAAAGTTCACCAAACCCAGTGCATTTTGTGCATATAACAGCACAACAGGAAACCACATATGTTAACTTAACACTAATAAACTGGGCTACAAAGACTGACGAAGTGACAATAAATGTCAGATTTACACATAATCATACTTACACTCATTCATATATACACACGCATACACACACTCATTCATGACTAATACCCAAATGGATACAGTAGCAAAGCTAAGTCATATACATTTCTCCTTTTTCCCGGCAAAACTCTGTAACGTAACAATCGAGACATATGAGTACACATAAGGTTTTTGCCTTTCGGTATAAAATTTCAAGTTTTTGGTTATATGATTTTGACAGGACGCTTCATAGACGACATTCGTCCTTAGAAGGTTTAAACCAATTTGTGCAGAGAATGGCTTCTAATATTAAAACGACTTTTGACAATACACAGGAAATGACATTTAGTGCACAAACATTCAAGATTTAAGGCCAGTTTTAGAAAATTTCCTTTTCCAACAGAGCTACACCAGCAACTCTTCAGGACTCAGGACTCATTCGTCCTTATTGTTTTATTTCGTTTTGTTTTGTTTTGTTGAGTGATGGCGTTGATAGTCTGACTTTTGTGTTATATGTCAACTGCATACAGAGCAGGCATTCGACCCCAATGTAACAAAATTTTTAAAAGTAATAAATTAATATTTCAAATGTACCTAAAAATAATAAAATTTGATTTATATATTCTCTAATATAAAGGACTCAACTATAAGCTACAATAAAATATTTATTAATAAAAATAAGTAAATATTTATACATACATATTATTTATGTATAATATAAATATTTTTATTTAATTTCCTATACATCTTCCTATATAATAAATCAATCAAGAAATATAACAATAAGCGGCCATTTAGTTACTCTTTAAGACCTCGTTTTACTCTCTTTACTCTTTTTGACAAGGAATAAAGAAGATGTACTCCATGGAGGAATTTTACTGATTGACGAGAGAGAAATATTAAGCCCTAACGCAATTAAAACAGATCTATGTAAATACCTATACAATATGAAGATTACTTTCAGGCCCTCCAACATGTCTATGACAAGAAGACTTCTTATGAACTGTCAAAAAAGTGTTAGTAAAACTAAATATGTGGCTAAGTAATTGTATCTGGCTAAATATTAATCAATTCGGTTAAGTATTTGGAGATAGCCCAGCATTTGAGTAACTGGAAACAATATTGATTTTAAAATGTGGAAATTTAGTTTCCGAAATAAGAATTTCGTTAACTCAAAACTTTAGATAACAATATAGAGAAGTTTTTAATAGTTTAAATAGAGTGGAATAAAAGTAGACTTACCAACATTGCGTTATCAAATCTCAGAATGGTTAAAGGCTCCTCGGGGAGGTATGCAGATCTGAGGTCAATTATTGCTTAGTCTGATGAAGTGATAAACAATAATCCAGGCAAGGCGCAAAGAGGGGTTTTGAAGAAACCTCGCAGTTAATAGAGAGTAACAGTGCTTAGGTGCACTGGCTCAACTAGCCTCAACATAGTAATAGAAGTAGAAAATAAACAAGTTATTGACTCCCAGTAGAGCAGATGATTTGAGCCATGGTTTAGCTGTTGTGATCCTAACTAACGGTAACTGAATAGTAATTATTCCGAACTACGAAGAACAAAACCACAATGTCAGCTGTTGAGAATATCCTAACATTAGATGGGAATAAGATTCTAATAAATAATTGTGATTTCATAGCAATAATGCAAATCTTAACATACTTTATTCTAAAACTTTGTTTATGATAGACTCGGCAATTAAATATGAGACTTAGTTGAAATTCAAATTTTTTTAAAAAGTGATATTCCGCACTATCTATAATTTATTTATTTATTCCAAAGAACTTATTGTGATATAAACCTAAGAATTATTACGAGACTACTAACCGGTCGTTGTATACTGAATACTCACATAAAGTCAGAAATCTAATCCAACTCATACTGCAGATACTGTAGAGAAAAGAGAGAAATCTTATACCATATGCTGGGGGAGTGCTCCGTACTGATGCACAAGCGAAAGAAACACCTTGAAGATTATTTCATGGAACATAAGGATTCAAGACTAGAATCTCTCATTAAAAAAATCAGAAGTTGAAAACCGCTCTAATCCCGACCAAAGTGCACAATAGATCTATTAAATCGCAGTATACTATCCCTTTTCCATAATAAAATTGTATTGTAAATATTGTTATCGGCAGGAAAAAGTAATGAGCTAGGTATGTGGTATTCCTACAGCCTATAATATTTTGACAAACGATGAAATGGGAATAGAATATATATAATGTACTGACTCCTAATGGAAACGATGGCTCGTCGTTTGCACTTCTAAAAGACTCATAAAAGAGAAAAGACATTCCACTCTTCGAATGAAAGACAGAATGTAAGCCTTTCAATAAGTTCTAGCATTATTAGAATCTTGATGAATAATGATGATTTTAAAACAATATTGCAATATCTTAAACCTTTTATTTGATAATGTTGTTACTTTTTTCGATACTTTTCCGTATATATAATGTACTGAATACTGGCACTCAACTGATCTTTTGTGCTTTCCCACCCCTGCTATACAGAAGACATTCCACCCACAATGTTAATTTTTGAGGATGTCCTAATATCAGATAGGCATGGGATCTTGATTAATAGTTATGAGATAGTAACTTTTTCAATTTTATAACTTCATTAAGAACTCAAAAGAAAAATAGTTTAATCAGAAAACTGTTAAAATTAAATGAAGTGTTTAAAGTCAGCTTTTCTTATTTCATATTCACTTCATTTTCACTTAATTCTTTTCTAGTTTAGTAATTCCTTTGCCAAATATGCGGCTTATCAATTTCCATGCCATTAGAAATTTCCGCAATTACACCCAACATCACGTTTGCTCTCATTTGCAGTATATCAAACATCGCATTCGGAAATTATGTTGCCTCCAACATTTCCAAAAGTTATGGTTTATCAAATTGGCAAAATTTCAAGTGCAAAAGCATTGATCAAAAATGCATGCAAGGAAATAATTTTCGAAAAGAAAAAAGGATAACCATCAGAAACTGTAAAATAATTTTGCCAAACATTTTCACTTTTTGATATTTTCAAAAATTCCCAAATATTTTATTAAAAAAGAAAAAACTATTAAATGGAATAGAGAATTCGAATATATAAATAATAAAATGCGATATTTTCAAATGTCGCTGTTGAGTACAGAATTTTCACATCGCTTCCTCCCATCCAGACGCAAACTGAATATAGTGTGAAGTCCTGATATTGTCACATCGGAAATTGGCACGCAATGTTAATTGTGTTTATAAATTCAATTTTGTCATAATATTTTCTTCTTTTTTAAACGACTTTAATAACAAAATTATTAAAATATAATATTTAAACAGATAAAATACTAATAAAAAATCAATCCTGCCTGTCTGTTCATGCAAACACCGCAAATGGATGGAATATAAAAGATTTTAGAAGAAAATAAAAAACCATCGTATAGTGGAATAAGGTTGGGCTTAAGAGAGAATCTATATGTCGCAGACCATTTATAGATCAGTTGCTATAGGCTAGAGATCTTACTAAAAGAGATCTCGCTCGTAACATAGAGATAGAGAGAAGAAAAGAGATTTTTTTATATTTCTGATCGAATTCATGAGGTATCTGCACTATATCAACCAAATAATTTCCTTTATCCATTTTATACCAATTTAAAAGTTTGTTTCTGGTAGTTTTTTGAGGTTCCAGAAGATGCACTTTTTAAAAATTGTAACCGTAATCCCTACTTACGTTAGGTAACTACACACTAGGTAAAAACTTTGTAATTATTCTAGGTAACCACAGAGATCAGTTAGATATCCAAGTTCTGATGCATTTCAAAATATTAGGAAATGTTAGTAACAAAGAATGTAATATTATAATTTGGGATTAGTTTTATCTACGTGTACAAGTGGTTTCAACCTACTTACTGCTGTCCTTCTCTTCTAGTGGAGCATAGGTTTCATCTTACCACCCAGTTTTTAGTTTTCCAAAGAAATAAATATATATCATAAATTAACAGGTATCGATTGGTACTCCTACTCCCAGAGATAACAACTTATATAGTTATTAATAGTCATCTGCTACACAATTAACGTGGCAATTACTA